GGCATAAGGCGGTACTGTGATGTCACGGCTTGTAATCCTTAGCCGAAATCAAGTCCTAACTCGATTTATAGGCTCAAACCTACTTGAATCGGACTTGGAACCAGTCTAAATATAAAACCCTTTTGAAATTTTTTTGATTCGTATTGTTTTGTTGCCTATCTTCCGCCGCTCCTATGTTTGTAAACCTCTTATGCGAATCTCCTCTGCTGTATGCTGATCCAAGATATTTGGATGAGTCGAAACTCAATTTTGATTTCTTTCAAGGCATCGCACAAAATCATAGGCTTATATCATTATATGCTTTATTTTTTTATTTATTTTTTATATTATTATTCTATTATTAGTTTATTACTTATTAGTATTGATTTTATAATATATATTATATTACTATTAGTAGTTTGTGTTTTAGTGATATTTATTTAATTATTTATATATATTTTTTTATTTGTTAATATAATAATATTATTTATTTTATTTTGTATCACATTTTTTATATATTTTTTTTCATTGTATAGAGCAAATCTTTTATTTATTTTGTATTATTGACATATTGACATAAAAATATTTATAGGATTTAATTTTCTATGTCCGAAAGTGAAGCATCAACGATAGACCCATCCAATGATTCAAAAAGACAAGCTAAGTCAAATGAACCGGATTGAAAATATGCTTTTTTGCCGGACTTGGAAAATAGAGATTTAGTAAAATGTTCACTCTGTCATAAGCAAGTACAATTGATAATAAAATGATTGAAACAACACTTGTTTAGAAATTCTGGAGATGTAGAGAAGTGTTCAAAGACTACTGAAGAAACCCGGAATGAAATACGAGAGTTCCTAAAGAAAAAGACGATAGGAAAACAACCCAGTCGTGTTGAGTTAGATGACGATGATGACGTTGACGACGATGTTCATGTGAATGTTCAAGGAGCAAGGCAAGGGGTATCGCACGACTCAATTTATTATCCTAATTTTGGTACTTTGAGCAAGACGAAGCATTCACAATTTGTTTTAAATTTTCCATCAATGCCGTCAAAATGTGGAAAAGAAAGCAAGTCAATTGCCTCAATATTTAGAAAAATACCGGAAGAAGTCATTAAGAAAAGACATAGCAAAACGAGTAGTGGAAGTCAAAGAACATTGGAAGCGTGTACAAGGAGGAGATCGAAATATTTCATGGACATATTTTCGATTTGTTTTATGAAAATGGCATACCATTCAATGTGGCAACGTCTCGAAGTTTTTAGATAATAATTGAGTCGGCGGAGCAAATGAAACCGGGTGTAAAAGGTTCAATTTATCATGAATTATGAGTTCTTCTTTTGGAGAATGCGGTGAAAAAGACACAAACACTGAAGAAAAAACATGTTATTGCTTGGAAGCAATATGGTTGTTCACTTATGGCTGATGAGTGGACAGATAAAAGAGGGCGGCATTTAATTAATTTCCTCGTCAATAGCCCGTAAGGTACATTTTTTGGAGTTGATTGATGCATCAAGTCAAGCTCAAGTTGTATCATTATTGGCGGATTTACTTTATGCAAAAAGAAGGAATTGGAAAAGAATACGTAGTTCAGGTAGTAACGGACAATGGTGCTAATTTCAAGGCAGCGGGTAAAATATTGGAGCAGTGCATACCCACTTTATATTGGACTCCTTGTGCAGCTCATTGTCTTGATCTTATGTTGAAAGATATCAGGAAATTGTCTGTTTTCTGGGCAAAGCTTGACGATGCAAGAAGAGTTACTACCTATAAATATATATATATATATTTATAAGCACGTAAGGCTCTTTAATGCAATGAGGGAGAAGACAGACGAAAATGATCTTGTGAGGCCTAGACCTACCCGATTTGCTACTTCATTTTTTATTTTGCAGAGCTTATATAAGTATAGGGATGCTTGAGGAGCTTATTTTTGAGCGAAGATTGGACAACATCGAAATTGGCTAATACAAATGTCGGGAGATTAGTAGCATACATGGTATTGTCTTCTTCTCCTTTTTGGACTGGCGTAGAGTATTGTATAAAAGCATCGCATCCATTTCTAATTATTTTGAGGATCGTTGACGGGGATGAGAAGCCAACGATGTCGGAGCTTGCAATATCAATGAATGAAGCTAAAAGGAAAATTAAAGAAGATTTTGAGAAAAAAAAAAAAACCAAATTTGTTGAAAGAAGTTATGAATATTATTGATTGTCGGTGGGAGGATCAAATGGAAGTCGAGTTATATGGGGCTGCATTGTTCTTTAATCCTTTCAAGTACTTTGATCTCAAGGTGAGTGATAATGCATATGATCGTAAGGCACGGATTATGTTTAATGATGTTCTTGAAAAAATTATCACGGATGATGAATTGCAAACAAAGATTTGTAATCAAGTCGATGATTATGATAATATGCGGGGAAGCTTCGAAAAACAATTGGCTATTAAAACAAAAGACAAAAAGTCCTCGTAAGTGCTTAATTTTTTATAATTTCTATTTTATTTATTTATTTTTTTCAATTTTCTTTAAAGTTCGAACTAAATATATATATTTTTAATGTTTTACAATTTTAATTGATTGGTGGAATGCTTTTAGAGGCTTTCATTTCGAGCTCCAATCACTTGTCTTCCGTATAATTAGTCTTTGTTGTTCGTCCTTTGGATGTGAACACAATTGGAGCTTATTCGAATTTGTAAGTATTTAATTACTTAAATAAATATTATATTAAAATATTATTGCTATCGTAGTCATATACTAATGTATTAGAATTTATTTTTTTAGATTCACATAAAAAAACGAAATAGATTGGAGTATAAGAGATTGAACGATTTAGTTTTCGTTTAATACAATCAAAAAATTGCTAATAGATTCCAAAAGAGGCGAGATAAGGAAAGAACTTCAATCCTTTGGTGTTCAGAGGACTTTGAATGGGATAATGAGTGGGTTCTCGACACCAATGATGTAGTTCATTCGGGAGAAGATCTTACATGGAGTCATGTTGATGAGGCTATGGGTGCATCGGCCAATCTTGAACGCCGCAATATTCCTAGAAAGGGAAATATCGGTGATACATCGGGTTCATCAATACAATTATACTCTAGACGTCCTAAGAAAGCGTCAACTACGGCATTCATGGAACAAGAACTAGACGATGAAGATGTATCATTAGATGATTACATCGGTGATGATGATTTGGAAGATATTTCTAGTGGTGTAGTGGTAGACTTGAGCTCTTTGATTGTTGAAATTTGAGATGATAAAATTGATGATTTAGAGATTTATGGATAGTATTTTGTTTTGTTTGTTGATTGAAATTATATTTTTTATACTATTATATTTCTTTTTATGATTTAAAGCATACAAAGCTTTGAAAATCGATAGAGAGTTGATAATATATGATTTTTAAAAATTTATAATATTTATAATTATATATATACACTCAATTTTATATATAGTATGGCGCGTTCGCTATTTTATCGTCATGCTGGGCGCCACGTTGCCATGGCGGTCCCCTGGCGCAAAGCAAAAGGGCGCCGTGACAACAATGACTATTATTATTATTATTATTATTACTATTATTATTATTATTATATATTTTAGGATCAACTTTCTTCTTTTACCTTTATAATGCAATTTATTAAAAGATCCCTCTGTTCCAATTTACTACTCTCTCCGTCCCAAACACCCTGCAATATTTCCTTTTTTATTTACCCAAACTCACTGCAACATTTCCAAATTTAGAAATAATTAATAATATTTTTATACATATATTAATATACACTTTAATTTATCCCATCACATTCCTCAAAAAAAAGAAAAAATCATTTCTCTCTCCAATCACATCATTTAATATCCAAATTATTTCAAATTACCATACTTAATACTCCTCACCTAAATTTCCGTGCCAGACACGGTGTTTGGGACGGAGGGAGTACTTGTTATTTCTATCCCGGTATGCCCAAAGTATTACAGTTCCCTTTATTTTAGAATCTTATTTTTTTTATTACCCTTCTCAATGCAGTTTATAGAATTAGTTTAAACAAAAAAATATAACAAAATTGTCTAAAAAAAACAATCAAAATTATCATTTAAAGAGGAACACCATAACAAAAACTAGCAAATAAATTGAGAAGAATATGGTATTATTGACCAACATAACTAAATTTGTAAACATTACTACATCATATAAGTTCTATTTACTTTTATATTTTCCAACTCACATTATTCATAAAAAAATTATAAAAGAAATGCATCGAAAAGATATTTTTCATTTAAAATATAATATCAAATTTCTATATCCTATTCAACCTATTTACATTAGGTCAAACAATTCTTTTTACTGTTGGCAAAACTTCAAAGTACTGCCACAACATACCTAAGCACAACCGGAATTCCCCATTATAGGATTGCTGGTCCAAGAGCCTAACCTCATTTACAATATATACATATGCATACAAAATATACAGTGCAAATTTTGAATATGTACTCTTAATATTTATATATATATATATAGATAGTTTCTCAAAAACATTAGCCAAAAAATACAAAATATGTTGATCCGTTAATCTTTGAATATTAATTATTATGGCAAAACGTAGTACAAATTAAGAAAAAATTTCAAAAATACTTCAATTAGTGTTATATAATACTAACAGAAGGATATTTGTACAAAAAATTATACAAATATAATGATATTTTTAATGTACTTAGGTAAATGTGACCCTTAGAGGCGAATGGACAGAATATAACATTCTATATATACATAACAATAGTAGTAACAAATACAAATAAAAGTCGACAAAATACATAAAAACATCATTATCTATAATACTATCATAATTCCTAGTACATCATAACAAAAATACTTAAAACTATAAATACTAAACAACCACATTTGTTCAGATATTCCAGACGCCAAAAATGACAACCCTCGTGCAAGAATGATACCATATGATTCTATGACACAAACTTAAGCACCATGTAAGAAGTATTGTTTTGGCCAATGCAAGAAAACATCTAAACATCACAAATTAGTAACTCAATAAGAGAGACAAGAAGCGGCAACAGAATCCGTCCAAAGAAACAAATTCACTACACACAAATAGCTTTTCCTAAGCACAAAATAAGCTGAAGAATATAAATACGGGCAGCAGGCATTTTCGCAACACAAGACTATCATGAACATGCAAGTATTTCGGCCACAAAACTGCTAATATAGTAACAAATGATGGAAGTAGTGCAAAAACTGAAAGGTATAAGCATTACTTATCATGTTGATTCTAGTTTTGCAGTGCTGTGCTCCAGCTTAGCTTTATTGTTCCGATTCATTCTTTGTCGGTTTATTGCCATTGGATTGCTGTGGCTGTTTCTGCGGCAATGACTGTTGTTGCTGTTGTAGCTGATGCATGTTGAGCTGTTGGTAAATCTGCGGGTTGATTGAGAGCTGCTGAAACTTTGATGTGTCTTCGCTGAGTTCGCCAGATGCAAGCTTCAGTCGTTGTACCTCTGCTGTCAATGCCTCATTCAGGGCTGTCATGATAAATTAGTGTGTTAAATTTCAAAACTAAATTCTGAAAAAAAAAAAAAAAAATCAACACATAAAAGTAAAAATTCGGACTGCAGTCCAAATCTTGATGTTAATTACTTAAGATACAAAATCTCCTAAGTTTGAGTACAACAGAATAATGATGAAAATGTTAAATATGATCTCCAAGACATAATCCCAAAAATTCTTATGTGGCCGTGCCGGTTTTGGGTTTTTATAGTTGAATTTGGGTGGTTCCCATCTCCTGAGATGGCAACTGTCTTAGATGGTAGTGTCATAACCGTTTCCGGTGGTGCTGAGGTTGATTATGACGTGGTTTCCAGATTCAACTACCATGTGTTACAGATCCTTCAACAAACTCTTTGATCAAACCTTTGGGTTGGCAACTTTCACAATATAGAGTTAAGTTAATTGTAATTTATTGAAATTCATAAATTGTGCAAGCTTATTTTGAATGTAAGATTTGGGAGATTAAGTTAAAACACATCATACAAGCAAAGAGCCTGAGGATTAAAACCTATAAGGAGCTACATAAACCAAGAGGGAAAGCAGATAAATTGTAGCAGTTCCAGGGAAATAACAAAAATAAATCTGTTTCTTCAGAAAAAGTTTCCAATTTACTATTTGGACTCAGTTTCTAAAAGAATTAACGTTTTCCTCTTACAAAACATCTCACCAAACATTATTTAAATACAAAATCCAACCCAAATCCAAAAAAACACTTATGCCTTAAAAAAAAAAGTGAGACTATATCGTATATATGATAGTGTCATTTGATTCACTCCTTATGTTGCATATAGTTACCTAGTTCTCTAGCATTGTTTAGAAAAACAAAATGTTCATAAACTTGGTAGGGCAGTATACTCATGACGTTCTAATATTACTCATAAATACTCTTACCATCACGGAGTTGGGCCTGCTGTTCCATTGCCTGCAACCGAAACTTCAGCTCATTGTTCTGGCTAGTAAGTCCAGCAGAGTCTCGCTGAATGCAGATAAACAACAAGGATCAAAAGAATGGCAGAAGAACTATAGGCACACAATAATAAAGAGTGCAAAACTGCTCAAGGAACAATAATTACAATCCAGGTCTTACCTGAAGTAAAGTAAGTTGCGCTGACAATGTCGTTGCTTCTGTCTGTAATGTCTGGACCTTGTGCTCTAACTCTGTAATATATCTCATCTTTCGCTCCTTTGATCGTGCAGCCGACTGCCGGTTGGCTAAGATCCTGAAGCCAAGACAAATTCTACTTATTAAAACAGGCACTATTTACTAGCTATCTGAACATAATATGCATTACCTCTTGGCCCGCTTGGGATCATTCAAGGCTATCTCTGCAAGCTTCTCATTTGCCATAATTTTCTTCAATTCGGCACCAGTAAATTCACCATTACCAAACTCCAAGCTAAAAACATTTGAATTTGCATCTATAGAATTTGTTGGCGAAAGTTGACCTGGAAGGGTACCAGGGGATGGAGGCATTTTCGGAGATTCATCGATAAAATTAGTCTTTCCCTTAAAGCTTAGGCCATCCATGGAGACACTCCTGCGGTAGTGCTGAGTATAAGGCGCAATATCTCCCATGTTATTCCTCTTGATCCCTTCCCTCTTCTCGGGGAACGATGACACTCCTACTTTATGCAAACTACTGCTGCTTTCATTGACGCTACTAGTTGCTTCATTGTCGCTGCTGTCACCTCCGGTCGTCTTTGTACCGCTAGCCCTGCTGTCTAAATCTTCCCGGGTTTCGGTCCCGGGCTTCTCCTCAGTGCCGGAAGAATTGAATACCTCAATGTTGTCCAAATTCATATAAGCAGAGAATAAGTCATCCACAACTTCCCCTTCGGATTTTCTGTCCCAGATTCCTTCGGCATTGCTATCTCCTCCCTTCTCCCAACTTGATTCTCGCTTAACTAGGTGCATCGGTAGGGTACCTGAATTCTCCCTTGCCAAAATCGGCCTATCCATCGCACCAGGACTCCTCAGCTGCATAGCTGGCAGTGAAGGCGAAGGTGGGGCAATGGAAGACATCAATCCGTAAGGTATATCACTGATTGACCTTCTATGAACCTTGCGAGGAGGAAGACCTTCTCCGACTCTCAACGAATTACCGCGTGTAAACGGTGATGGCGGCAACAAGCAATGGGAATTGCTCTCCCTCTCCTCCGTAGGCACATCAGCAGCCACAGAGGCATGATCGGAACCAGAATTTGAAGGCAATTCACGGTAAGGTGAAGGGCTTAGGGGCGGCAAAGAATCTAGGGCAAAAAAAGAGGGCTGCGACAGTGAACGAGTATGCTGTGTCCGCCCCGGACTTGTACTGAAATTCTGCAATCCATGCTGCTGATTCCCCGGCCGGTTAGCCGGGATCTGCGAATACGGAGAAGCAGGAGGAATTTGCGGATGAGAGGGAGGAATGCCGAAGCGTTTGCTGCTATTATCCATACCTAAATTGGGGGAGACCTGCCTAATCTGACCACGAAATTGAGGCATGTTGAGTTGAGGTACATCCATTTGGTTCATCGAACTTTCAGGATTCTTAGGAATCGAAGACGATGATGAAGATTGAAGCCTTTGGGAAGCAGCCTCCTCGTTATCAGTAGCCATTTCTCCAATTTCTAGACCTTCAACTCTCTACAAAATTATACACTACCTACGGGATGCAATTCAACGAATTCACGCCACCTGAACAGCGAACAAAAAAATCATCACAATCCAACGCAGAAATCGAGCTACAAACTAATCAATCAATCAATCCAGAATCACAAAAATACAGATTAGACAACTATCGCTAAACCAACACTCCAAAACATCGGCAATAAGTTTGCAAATGAAAAAGGCAGTACAGCAGCAGTTCCGTAAGAGCATTACCGACCATTTTCTTCGCAGCACCAGCAGCATCGGCCGAATGTGGAGGCGAAGTACGATTGAAGAATTGTGCAGGATTTATACGCCTATTTTGTCGTCGTCTATGGCTGTTTGTTTTGGGAGAAGCTTTCTCTCTCTAGGAAGAGGGGGGACGAACGAGTGAGACGACTCTCCACACGGACTTCATGACTGCACACTACTGCAGCTGCTTCCGCAATACCGCGTGAATTTAATGTGAATTTGAGTTTCATTTGGAGTGCATTTCAATTTCATTCCGGCTGCATTTGGTTGTCATTTGGGGGTTTCAGATCAGTTTTTCCTTTATCACCGCCGCAGCGTCGTGTGTTGCAATGAAATCTCGTCTCGTGTGCGCCAACACATATTTTATTTCCGCTCTTTGTCCCAATCGGCCGCCTTTATCGAAACGCTTTTATATTTTCTTTATCATTATTATAATTATTACGTATGTATTTTTTATTATTTAATTTTAATTTAAAAGAAAATTACCATTCCCTCGTTTCATTAATTATATATTCATCTGAGTTAGATACAAATTTTAATAAATATTTTTACAGTTTGAATCATATGTAATTATTTTGTTATTTATATCTTTTCAATTCAAATGTATTGATTTTATTATTTCATTATAAAATATATTTTTTTTATACTTTAAACAATATTGAAAATAATATTATTAAAAAATAAATAGGCTTAAAGGGTAAAAATCAAATGAATACACTGCTAATATATTATTTTTATATTATATTATATCATTATTTATAAACTACTAATACACACGAGTTAACGTGCAAAAATCAAATAATATATATGACTTAGACGAATGAAGTATAATATTTTTTTCGTCTCTTATAATTGATACATTTGATTAGTGATATGATATTTAAATAAATAATATGTAATTAGTTAATAATAGTGAGTTATTATATTTTAATATATATAATTAAAAAATTTAAATATTTTAAATATTATATCGCAAATAAAAAATATATACAATATGAATACATATTAATTTGTAAAAAATAAAAATTTTATAATAAAAAAATAAAAAAAATATTTTTATTTATTTATAATTAATATAAATTAATTTTATAAAAGAAATAGAATTTTAAATATATATAAAAATAATAATTTTTTTTTGAAAGATACAGAAATAAAAAGTGTGTTTCTTTGGCCTTTATGTTTCCAAACTCACTGTTAATTTACTGTGCACTAAAATTTTGGCGCCAGAGCGATCCTTGTCTGACATCTTCTGTCTGTGCACTGACATCTTCTTTCGATTTTACTAAACCCCTGTACCACAAAAGAAATCAAAACCTATCTTCCAAAATCCAAACCTACTCTTCAAGAAAGATGACGACCATCCGCGCAACAAGGTTGAAGGGTAACGGCGAGAATCACTGGCGGCGGCGAAGATTGAGTTTTATCTGATAGTTTCTTTCGGGTAATTTCCAAGGTCCACTGCAAGGAATAAAGTTGGGGGAGGAAGACGATTAAGAAAGAAAGAAAAAACTAAAAATATAAAAATAAAAAAATAAAAAAAAAAAACAACTAAAGAAAGGTAGAAGAATAGGAAGAAGAATAGGGATGTCAAATGGGGTGGTTTAGCCCGGACCCGCTTTTAATGGAGCGGGTTCGGATCTAAATAATATGTTTCGAGACAGATTGTGGATTTAAAATTTTAAATCCGGTCGGGTTCGGGGCGGGTCACGGGTTTTACTAAAAATCAGCCTCAACTCAAAAAAAAAAAAAATCAAAATCAAAACAAACACACGTATCTTTAAATATTAATAATTATTAGATATCATATTTAATTATAAACTCTATAATAAATCATTAATTGAATGCATTTAGTATCACGAGCTGCATGATCTACATAAATTAATATTGTGTGTTTGATTTATTATTTCAATTTTTTTTTAGAAAAATACCTTTGTATTTGTACTTTGTCAATTTGTATATAAATAATGGTGAGATTTAATAATCTATTAAAATAAAAATATATATATAATTATAAAAATATATGAACTATATAATAAAAGTTTAAAATGAAGAAAACCCAATGAATTGGAGATATATAAGCTTTGTTTTGATTGGTTTGAGTTTCTGCTCCAGCTTGAGCTTCTTTTTTTTTGTGATTTGTTTGTTTTTTTATTTAAAAAAAAAATCAATATTATTTAGTTTATTTTGTTTTTGATAAAAATATAATATTTTTTTATAAAATATTATATCAATATTATCTCAGTCCGGTTTTAAGCGTCTTATTTATTTTTTGCGTATTGATTTTAAATATTAATTACTATATAAAAACCTAGTACAGATTAATAAAAAATGACAAAAATACTTCTTTTAGTGTCTTAACATTTATGTAAAAAATTATACAAATACAAGAACATTTTTAATGTTAAACACAATGACGCAGAAGGTAAATGAGATTAGAGATTATTTAAATTCAAATTCAAACTAAAACTTTATAATTTCAAATCAAAACCACACAAAACCTTAAATTTTAGTTTAAATGTATTTTGATGTTATATTTTATAAAAAAAAAATAAAAAATAAAAAAAACATATTTTTTTATTGAAAATTAGACATACTGAATAGTATTAATTTTTATTCAAAATCAAAATCAAATACACTACATAATTTTTTTTGTAAATTATACATACTAAACAGTGAATATTTGAATTTAAAATTCAAGCCAAACACGCTACTATGCTCATTTGAGTTTTTCTTTTAAGTATTTTTTTACAAAAATAAATTAATTGTTGTATAAAACATCATATTCAATAATAATTTTATCCAAGTTAAAAAATTTTGAGAAAAAATAATAAAATTTGTGTTATTTATCATCAAAATAAAATTGTTATATCACAATATAAAACGGACTCGATAGACTTAAATATAAGCAATATAAATCTACTAAATTTAAAATCGAATATCTAAAATATCTCAACATTCCCTCAAACTCAAGTGGTATAACAAAAATCAATTTAAGTTTAAGTTGAATATAGACGCAATAAAAATAACAGTTGACTCTCCACCGGAGCTGAAAACGACATAACTCTTCACCGAAGCCGAAAACGATATGACTCTCTACCGGAGCCAAAAGCGACATGACTCTCCACCAGAATCGAAAATAACATAACTCTCCACCGAAGTCGAAAATGTATGATTCTCTATGGAGTCGAAAATGATATGACTCTCTACCAGAACCGAAAACGGCATGACTCTCCACCGGAGCCGAAAACAACAGGACTCTGAATGGAATCAGAGTCAAACGCAAACATATAGCACACAAAACATATCACAGACATCGAACAAATCACAAATAACAAACAGATTGCTATTACAGAACAAATCGCAGACATCAAGAACAGATCGCAAATATTGAACATATCACAGAACAGATCGCAAATATTGGACGTATCACAGAACAGATTGCAGACGTCAAACAGATCACATAACAAATCACAGACATTGAACAGATCACATCGAACACATGTGACAGAAGATAACAGACAGATTTCAGAGACATATTTGCAAAAATATAAAAATCAATAATTTCTTTGTCCCCACTCAAATGTATTTCTTTGGAATTTTTATAATAGATTAAAAAAATATATATTACTTTATTAGTTAGTATAAAAAAAATAATAATATTTTATTAATTAGTACAAATATGTAAAATAGTAAAATATATATTTTGAAATGAGAAAGAGAAAATACAATTAAATAATTTGTCATTTGATTTTGTGTTTTATTCTTTCTTTCCTTTTCTTTTCTTTTCTTTTTTTAGTTTAAATAGTGACTAAAATAGAAAGTATTTTCATTTTGTGTTTTTAGTCTCTAAGTGTTTTTTACATTACGGGTGTGTTTGTCTGGGGTTTGGATTTTGAATTGAGATTTGAATAGTAAAAATTTTAAATTTGAATAGTTGTATGATGTGATATAAATAGGTGTTGATGTGATGTTTTGAATGTAAAATTGATTTTTAGTATAATATAAAAAATAAAAAATAGGTGTTTGATTTGATGTTTTTAGGGGAAAAAAATGGGATGAATAGTAAAAATCTAAAATCCAATCCCCCAAACAAACGTATAAATAATATATTACTAATATAAAAAAAAAAAAAAAAAAAAAAAAAAAAAAACTATGTCTATTTACAAGGCATATAGTTTTTCAAGTCAGCTCAATATTATATATAATTTTTAGTAAGTTTAACTGCCCTACACATTATGAATTTTAGAGTTAGCAAAAACTGACCCAATACGAGATAATTGGATTTAGGTAAAAGATTTCAATCTGATTATATATACGAGTTGATACGATAATAAACAGGTCGGGTTAGAGTTAGTCTCTCAATTCGAATCCGACACGATAACCAGATTATAATATATTAATGAATATATATATATTATATATGTAAAATAATTATGATTATATAATTAGCCCACATATTAATTTAATATTAAATTTAATTTTAGATAATTCGATCTAATTCATTGTGTACATTACACTATAAACAACAAAAACTAACATAAAACTAAAATATGACAAAAAATAATTGAATTTGAATCAAGAATTTAGACGTAATTATGTATATGGATCAACACGGGTCAACACGAACCTGATATGATAATAAACAAATCAACACGAATCCGATACGATATTAGACAGATCGGGTTAGGTTTAAGTTATTTAATCCGTTTAAAGTAGTCAATCAGACACAAAACCGACACGAATCAGACCAATTACTAACTCTAATAAATATCATCAATTTTACATTTATTTATATCAATATTAATACATTAAGGGTGTGTTCTTTCAAAGATTTTCAACAAATTCTACTTTTTGTCAAAAAAATTTTCCAAAAAAATATCAAATCAAATATTTATTTTTCATTTTTTATATTATACTAAAAATTAGTTTTGCATTCAAAATATCATATCAAAATCTATTTATATCACATCATACAGCTATTCTAATTAAAAAATTTCACTATTCAAATTTCAACTCATAATTCAAACCCTCAAACAAACACACCCTTAAAACATTAGGAAAACATATATGTATATAACTACCACCAATTATCATTTAAATATTACTCTCCTTCATTCCACTTACTTTGTCCACTGTTTCCATTTTAGTCTTTCCCACATAATTTGTCATTTTTTAAAAAATAATAATAATTATACAATTTAATCACATAATATCTAAAACTCTGTGTC